TAGGAAACTTGCATGTTGGAGAATTTTAATCTTTATTTTTATTTTATTTTGTTTGTTTTTCTTCTCTTGTTTTGTGTAAGCCGCCCGGAGTCCTCCGGGATTGGGCGGCCTATAAATCTAATAAATTAAATTAAATTAAATTTTACAGAAGCAAAAGAGCTTCACTGTGGAATAAATGTTTGCAGTTCAGAACCCATAATACTGGACTGAACCAATAAGCTAATTAACAAATGCAAGTTTCCTATATTAGGGTTGACCCACAATTCATTTTGTAGAGCTTCATTCCAGCTTCTTCTATTCAACTCACAAAGATTTCAAAGATCAAAGATTTCCTGATTTTGCAACCTAGTGGTCCCAGAGTATAGGAAGTCTGGACTAAACTCATTACTGTACAAATACAGGTTAGTTAAGTACCGTATAACCCCCACATTCAAATAGACAATATTTCTAGTGACCTCTGTAACTTTAACTAAACCAGAAACATTTAGCTTAGTAGCAATTGGTGAGGATGAATCTTAATGTTATCATCTTGATTTATTGATGTCCCTGATTCCAAGATGGGATGAAGAAAAGTGAGGAGCATGATCTAAGTGGAAGGGAGCGCAGGTCTTAATGACATGAATTTAAAATAAGATATCCAAGATTGTTTTCTTCTGATGATCTCTAGCTGCATTTCTTCTTCTTAGCATCATGACAGCCATTTCTATGGTAACAATTTACAAGGTCACCTTGCACAAATGTGACCATCTGGTGACATTCAAATAGTGGATAGGAGGGTGAATGAAAATGACACACCAATGATTTAGATTTACCCCAAAATTTGGATATATTCCAAGAATATAGAAACTATCCTCTCCTTGAGTTCTGATCTCAGCACAGCTTGCTTTGGCTTTTTTATTAGGGAGAGTTACCTAGTACAGCCTATGACAGAATGTTAAGCTTCCCTGCTCCCTTCTATGGCTTCAAGCAGCCCAGATGTTTTCTGAACATCAACATGAAGAAGACCAATGAGGCATGAATGCAACAACAGACCATCGCAGTAAAATATGGACAAGGAGGGGGGGCAGGTTTATGCCAGATGAGGTCTGGGGGCTACCATAGCTACACACAGAGGGGCTCTAGTGTGGAGCCAGTTGTTACAAAATGCTAGGCTTGACCAGTCTCTCGTTCTGCATGATCTTGTTTCCACTGATGCACGAAAAGCAGTTAGGAAAACCAGCAGTTTTTGATGTGATCAGTAGGGGGAGCTAGTTAGATTAGGCAGAAAAAAAATTAAACATACAGATTAGAGAAGTTTTCTGCTGTTCACTATAACAGCGGCCCCCAATCTTTTGGGCACCAGGGACCAGAGGTTTTTCCACAGACTGAATAGCAATAGCAATAGCAGTAAGACTTATATACTGCTTCATAGGGCTTTCAGCCCTCTCTAAGCGGTTTACAGAGTCAGCATATTGCCCCCANCCCCAGCCAGCATTCGCTGGCTGGGGAATTCTGGGAGTTGAAGTCCAGACATCTTCAAGTTGCCAAGGTTGAGAAACACTGGTATAAATAAATATTGTATCTGTTTGTCCTGTAGGAAAACATTACAACTTGCAAGGCAGCTTAAAGATAGGGCTGTGGAAGCCCAGGCCTGTTACAGCCTTGGAAACACCCATACCTTACTTCAGGATTATGAGAAGGCCATAGATTATCATCTGAAACATTTAGCAATTGCTGAAGAATTAAACGACAGGTAAGAGCTTTAAATTAATTGCTACATAGTAATACAGGTTTTGTTCTCTATAGAAATATTGCCTTATTTGTATAGACAGGATCTCCATTCTAAATGGTTTAATAGAAGATTGTAGTATTAATGGCAATAATACAGATATTCTGTCTGTTATTGGAGGAGTTTGCTCCTATGTTAGTTCTTTGAAGCACAAATCAAAGATTTGGGGTTTTCTGTTGGCATTTGGGTGCCAAGTGGAAAAACTGGTAGATTAAAATAGGCGTTTAAACTGTTTCCGTATTGCCCATTTTACATTCTTATATCAATCTGAATGAGCAACTTTAGCCAAATCCATGAGTCTATCAATCATTTTAGAATTGTAGATATCCATAAAGTTAAAGGACTCTGTTAAACCTAGTGTTCTATGGGCTCAACTGTGCAACTTTTTTTGGCACTAATATGGAAGTTATCTGCCAGATCTTTTAAAATTTCTCCATTATAAACTTTTTTGGAAACCTTTTTCCAACAGAAAATGAAGCTTTTTTGAACTAGGGAGGATAATGTTATGTGATGCTTAATTTCTAAAATATTCCAATAATTAATAGATATTTATTCTATATTGATTAGCATTATCACAGAGATTAGTGTGCTTTCTATATCTAAGCTTTGTAGTTTAGATATAGAAATATGTAGCAATTTGTTAATTCAAATATTGCTGTAACTTTAAAAACATTTTAAGACTGTTACATTGAGACAGGCAAAACAAGTAAATTAGAGTTAATATGATAAATTAAAATTAATGTACCTTACATATTATGTATGGTTTTCTCCTGTTAAGGATTAAATCCAACAACAAATTCTGAGAATGAGTTTGGAGACTATGATTAAGATCTTTAAGGGTCCTTGAATTCTACATATCTATTTAAAATCATTTATATATTTACATGTATTTAAAAGCTCTCTCTTATTTTTAACTGGAGTATTTGATGTGCATATTATTGAACTGTGTTCCAGAATTGGTGAAGGAAGAGCATGCTGGAGTTTAGGGAATGCATGCACAGCTTTGGGGAATCATGATCAAGCTATGCATTATGCAGAAAAGCATTTAGATATTTCAAGAGAGGTATGTGCACATATTCTTAATTCTTGATTGTGTGCATTTTGTGTATGTGTATGTACTGTATGTAGTTGGAATAAATTGACTAACTAAACTTAAAGAAAAACAGACTGAAAGCTTGAGAACGGGGATTGCTTTGGTTTTATATTTTGTAAGCATTCTAAGATTGTTTCAGAATGGTTCGCATGTTTTAAATAAAATCATTTACATAAAACATGTAATATCTTTGATTGCAGGTTGGAGATAAGACTGGAGAATTGACAGCTAAGCTTAATCTCTCAGATCTTCAAATGGTGCTTGGTCTTAGTTTCAGCACAAACAACTCTGTGATGACTGAAAATCAGATTCCAGATTATAACTTGAATGGTAAATATGCCCAATACCGTTTATGGCTGTGACTGCTTCCTGCAACCCTCTGCCACCGAAAATGCAGTTTGGGAGGGCCTCCCGCAGTCCTAGTGAGCTGTTTTTGCTACAACTGCATCTTGCGATCCTTTGCCAGCAAAAACGGAGCTCGGGAGTGCCGCCCGCAGCCTTCCCATAGTCTATTTTGCTGGCAGAGACATTGTAGGCAGGTCCTTTGCTGTTTCCAGGGCAGCCCCGCTGGCCAGATCTAAGCGTCCCATTCCCCCCCCCCGGAGGAGGGGACGTTTCCCCCACTGAAGCACACCTAAATTTAACTGTTGCAAAAGCAGCAGGCAGGCCATGGAGGCGCCAACAACGAAGAGAAACTGCTGGGTTGGGTCAGTGTCTTAGGGCTGAGAGGAAGTTGCATGTCTCCCCGTGTGACCTCACTGTGTGGATCACCAATAAGGGCTGGAAGAAATGCCCGCAAGACCCAGCGAGAGATGAAGCTATATGGAGTGAATCTCCATTCCCCACCCTTCCCTTTTCAGGCCAGGCAAGGAGTGACCATTACCTTGCTGCGCAACTCCTTGCATGTTGCACCACCTGCAAATTTGCAAGTTGCACATACCTCCCTGTACGGTGGAGATTTCCAGCCCCACCTACCTGGCCGATTCCACTTTTCAGAGCTCTAGTCACAGGACTGGCCCATTGGTCACCCGGGTGCGCTGCAGACCACCAAACTTTTCTCGCGGACCACCAGTTGGTGACCTCTGTTCTAAAGGGTATTCTTAAAATAATTGCCAAAGCGAGGTTGTACAAATTTTGTCAGATATGTCTATTAGGAGAAATAGTAATGGGTGGAAAATCTTGATGGTGACATAGAGGGAAGCAGGGCATAGTAAGAACTTCCCTTTCTTTTGGGAAAGTGTTCCAGAATCTTGATAAATGCTAGACGCAACACTTGACTATATTGACGTGAATTCTGCTGGATACTTCTGCTAAATGTAAAGAAGAGAAAATAATGCATTGATCCTGTAATACTTACCATAGTATGGAGGAAAGTCAATATTACTGGTATAGAAGTTTCCACCATAGAAATGTTGTATATAGTTTCTGTTCCCATTTTACTTTGTGCAAAAAAGTATTTGTCCAAAGATTTTTAACCTTTGTTAAAAATGAAGCTAATTTGAGGCCATAGCCTCCTAAATCTCCTTGTACAAATTTCTTTAAAAAGATTGAAAAATGAAATACTATAAGAGCCATATATAAATACAGGCCATTATCAGTGCTAAGGAAATGATTTGTAGATACGTGTCCTAGGTTGGATTTTAAGATTTGAGGAGGAATGCCAAAGAGTATACAAAGCAATTTATATATTATTTTAAAGACAGCTTGCAGCTACTGAACTTTTGGTAAAAAAAAAACTATAAGCCGGGACAAAATGTTGGAGGTAGAACAAATTATCCCTTCCCTACTTTAACAGTCATTGAAGATTACATGCCTGGAGTGAGACACGTAGCTCACTCTTCCGGTTAAGTGGCCAGGGAGTCATCTCTTTCAGCATTTGGGCTTTTAAATGGTTTCTTTTGCCTCCATTAAAACATTTTAAATGCCTTTTTTAACATTGTAAAGAAAAATTAAAAATTTACCTCAAATTAATAGTTATGTCAGTATGATGTTCACTGCTTTTACAGTCAAATTTAGAATAGTTCTGTTATTAGTTTTATTGGGGTGATCATCTTCAGTAAATATTATAAATTAAGAAATCTATTAAGTTGTTCCGTGTATGTTTCTTCAAAGTAACCCATTACTTAATTTTTGTAATTCTAGGTACTAAACAGAGGTTAGGGCGTCGCCATAGTATGGAAAAATTGGAACTTATGAAACTAACACCTGAGAAGGTTGGTGTCTTTTAAGTGGAAGTGGCTTTGTAAAAAAATATTTCATAATATTGGGTCCAGAAAAGAATGCATTGATTTTGTAACAATATAGGTATGAAAGAAAGTATACAAATTTTCTACCATAAAAGCACATTATCCCTTAGGGATTTTATTTGTTAAATTGTGCAAAAATCTTGTAAACTAACTTGGACAGTGTCTAACCAGTAGTTCTTCCTATAATAAAGGTATATTTCTTACAGATTCATTTAAATTACAACAATGAGCTACCAGTCAAAATGATAATACATGAAAACAGCAAACTAGGTACTCTTATCTAGAGTTGACCTTTTAATGGACTCCAAAACTGCCCCCCCCCTTTCTTCTCCCTGCAACCCCTAGATTGCTCTTTTTTTAAAACCTCCAAGCTTATCTAACCGTCCTTTCTCTTTTCTTTCATTTTCAGTTTGGGAGGGAGAGCTGGCTGGATTTTTAGACCCTTTGTCATTTGAGGAATGCTCTGGGCCCTTAGTACATTTGTTCATAGCATTTATGGGAAGAGGTTAAAGAGGCCAAGGCATCATCCCTGACCCAATCCTTGACATTTTCATACCCCTCTCCCTCTCTGAATTCTACTGTTCAGATCCCAAAGGCACGTTGAAAGAGCAAGAAAGAGAGGAGACCTGCAGAAAACCTTTCACTTTCCAAGTTTCACAGGCAAAATATTTTAAGGATTACATTAACTATATAAAGAGTTGGGACGAACAAGGAGCCATTGTATCTGTGTACAATCTGTACATTGATGTGACCCCAAGCTTGATTGCCAGCCTCATGTTTAGCACCTTGGAAATACAGAATTTGCTGATAAGAATTTTTTCAAATAGTCAAATTTGATTTGCATTGTTGGTTAAAGCACTAGTTTTGCAAAGATGAAGAAATTAGCCACGTTTGCGTGGAAAAATAAAATTAACTTACATTTCATATAGTGAAAAACTGTTTTCTGGTAAATGTTTTAGTATACACTATTACCTGTTTCCTAGGTTCAGGATTGGAACAGTGAAATTCTAGCTAAACAGAAACCATTGATTCCCAAACCTTCAGCAAAACTGCACTTTGTAAATCGATTGAAAGGGAAAAAATACAAAAACATTACTTCTTCTAAAGTTCTTCAGGATACGAGTAACTCTATTGACCATCAACTAAATTCACAGAAGGTATTTGTGGAGAAATAAACATTTTAAAATTTCAGTATTTTATTTTTTATATAATATAAAATATTATAAAATCATATCCTTTATGTTTATAAATATACTTTAGATGTAGTATAAAATATATACTTTACTACTGTGAAAGCATTTTTAGAAATATGCCAGGTTTTTTATTGTTTTGCCTAATTTTTTTAAAATGAAAACTCATGTATATTTATGTATTTACGAGCCATACATGCCACTCCAATTGTAACTGATTCAGAGCATATAATGAACGTTTAGATTATTTCAGACTAATTGTAAGACTATAACAGTGGTGGGTTACAACTGGAACGCCCCAGTACTGATGCCTGCAGGGAGCACCAGGTACTTGTCCAGTACAGTGCTCCAGAGGGCCCCCCTGCCCGCGTTCCTTACCAATATTTGAGCTGTTCGGGGCTTACACACATGGAACATACGGCGCCTGTGTGATGCTCCGCCGAGCAGCTGGAGCGTAGCGGGTGGTAAGTATGCATGTGTGCGTGTGCACACATGCTGCGCGCATTCATGTGGTGGACGCCCGGCCCCGTTGCACCATACCAGTTGCAATGGGATCCAGAACCCACCACTGGACTACAAGTTCAGTTAAATACTTATGTATGAATAAACATTTGGAAATGAAATACATGAGTTTTGTTGGTACATGTGAATTGAATGTTTGATGATAAAGTTGTATCTACAAGTGAGATACTAAGTTGAAATGCTCTTTCATGTTGAGATAGCATTATATCAAACTTAATAGCTCCAATATTTTTAATGTTTCTTCACTGGACCTTTTCACTTCTTTCCCATAATAATACTTAATCTGAGTTACATAGTTTGAATTAAAATTCTCCTGCTCTTTCATAAATGGCTGGTATTATTTGTATTTACTTTTGCACTTTATTATTTTTAAGAAAAGCAGCTTAGACGTCCCTGGAGACGAAGGATTTTTTGACTTGTTGAGCCGATTTCAGAGCAACCGAATGGATGATCAGCGATATTGTTTCCAGGACAGGAACAGAATGACAGTGACGGCTTCTGCCACAACATCCAGAATTATGCAAAAATGTAATTAATTATAAAGCCTAAACAACATTGCAACCTCTTTAAATGAAATTAGATATCGCCTTAACCAGTATATCGTTGCACCTCTTACTGCTTTCTACATATTTTTTTTAATTTTGTTTTGCAGCCTTTTCTGCTTCAATGCTCTCTCCACATACAGATGAATTTTTAGATATGCTTGCTAGTTCTCAGAGTAGACGTTTAGATGATCAGCGGGCCAGTGCCAGCAATTTACCTGGGCTTCGTCTTAATCAACATAATAGTCAGTCCGTCCTTGGTCACCTGATGGCCAGCAAAAACAGCGAACCAGATGATGACTTCTTTGATATATTAATAAAATGCCAGGTGAGTTTTTGGTTGATTGGATATTCTGTGTGGCATGTATTCTTAAAAAGACATTCTAACGCAAGTAGCTATTTCATAGAGCCTCCTGGTGGTATCTTGTCAGTTGAATCAATCAATAAATTTGAAAGTATTTTTAAAAAACATGATAATTTTCTTTAAAATATTTTTAATGCTAATTTAGCAATTTTATCTCATAATGGTAAGTTCAATTTTTTGGCAGGGGACCAAAAATAGAAAAGTAGATTGGATTTTCCAATTCTTCATTTTATTAAAATCAACTTCTTAGCCTAGATGTTATCTTAAATTATAATGGGGCTCTAAATAATATTCCTTAATGTATTAATAAGTCAAAAATTTGTGCCTCTTTTGAAACGTTAAACAATTGCTGAGATACCTTAGATCAGTGTTTCTCAACCTTGGCGACTTTAAGTCCTGTGGACTTCAACTCCCAGAATCCCAGCAGAGCTGGCGGGGGGATTCTGGGAGTGGAAGTCCACAGGACTTAAAGTCGCCAAGGTTGAGAAACACTGATCTAAGGTATCTCAGCAATTGTTTAACGTTTCAAAAGAGGCACAAATTTTTGACTTATTAATACATTAAGGAATATTATTTAGAGCCCCA